ATTATTGGCCGGACCCTAAGAGCTACTGAATCAGCAACGTTGGAGGTGGGGCCCAGCCATTTGTCATAACCAGCCCCGCAGTCACTGTGACATGTGCTAAAGTTTGAGAACCACTGACCTAGCGGGATGTGCCAAAGCTTTGTAGTCAGCAGATGTGGATTTTAAATCTTAACTCTCCCACTTGCCACTTGTGACATGAGCAAGTTACTAGACCCCTGCTGGGCTTCCAAGCTCTCATTCAATAAAAAGAAGATGATATTGCCCTCATCATCTGTTGCTGTGAGAAGGAAGCGACAGGAAGAACCCTAGCTCTGCTACTTTTTAGCTGTGTCTCCTTTGGCAAGTTACCTTGCTTCTTTCTGCCTCTTTTTTTCTCATCTAAAAAGATGAGATGCAAGAGTTAACACGTACACACTGCTTACTATGTAACAGCCACTGTCCTAAACCTGTGCATATTTTTATTTTATTCAATTCTTATAATAACCCTGTTGTTTTACACATGAGAAAACCGAAGCACAGAGAGCTGAAGTTTCCAAAGTTACATAATGAGTGAGCTGGAATTCGAGCCCAGGCGTGTGCTGTGAAAATTCTTGCCTCTCACAATGCTTGGACATAATAAGTTCTCAGTTACGGTATGACGATGATAAGAAGAAGATTGCCTGGAACACAGTAGATATGCTTCATATATTAATTCCCTTCCCTTGCCTTGTGGCCTGGCTTCCTGAGAGCTCACCTAGCTTTCTTTATAGTCGTGCTGCCGTCTTCTGCTCTGACTGATTTTAAACCACCACCCACCCGTAGGCAGTTTGTACCCCTCACCTCTTTTATGGTCACTTGGATGCTCTGAGCAAACCAAACAGAGGCTTGGCCTGCTGGAAGAAGACCAAACGTGGTGGTTCAGGTGAAGCTAGCTACCCTCCTGTCACCCCACCTGACATGTTTTGGGAATGAATGACCAAGCTAGAAGAGGTTCCAGGCAAGTGGTTGAAAGATCATTAAGTTTGCCTAATTTTGGACATAGTCTCCAAGTTTCTTCTGCTCTCAGATTTCTAAGGGAATATAAAAGCAGCTTCTTCTTCTTCTTTTTTTTTTTTGCTCAGTTTTTTCCTTCAAATTAAAACGTACAGCTGGGAAATTTAACTCACAATATTACAGCAGCGTTTCTTCTTTCGTTTTTGTTTTGTTGGGACAATATAAAGCCTGTTCTCTTCCAGTGCAGAGTCCCACCGATTGTTCTTGGAAGTTCTCTTTGATTTTGCTTTCAAGATGGTCTCCCTAGCTGGGCATGACTCACCAGACTAGTGACTCAGAAGTGGCCTCTAACAAGACAAGGACTGTGCAGAGCTGTGAAGGGAGTTGGTGGCTAGTGGAGCTCACCGGAAACTTTCCCTAAACCCAGTTAATGAGCTGGAGCATCGTTTTCGTGAATGCATGTTTACAGTGGTTCTTGGTACCAGTGTATTTGAAGTATGGGGTCTGCCAGAGACGTTGCCTTGTTCTAGAAAGCTCCAGCGCTTGAGTCCATCCTTGCCCCTCATCTGGGTGTGGCTTCAGGTTTACTATGGGGCAAGACAGAGCTTGTGAGAATTTACCGGACCCCGCTTGGAATGGCCATAGACTCAGGAGGTCTGAGGCTTCTGTAAATGCTGTGTCAGGAGGAAAAGTAAAGCCTCTTTTTATTTGAAGAGGTCTTCAAACCTGTTTCAACTTAATTTTTAAAATATGTTTTTATTGCCTTGGCCGGTTTGGCTCAGTGGCTGGAGCATCGGCCTGCGGACCAGAGAGTCCCGGGTTCGGTTCCTACTAGGAGCAAGTACCAAAAAAAAAATAAAATGTTTTTATTGATTTTAGAGAGAGAGAGAGAAGAAAGGAGAGGGAGAGAGAGAAGAAACGTCCATTGGCTGCCTCCTGCACGCCCCCTTACTGGGGATCCAGCCTCAAACCTGGTTGTGTGCTCTGCCTGGGAATCGAACTGGCAACCTCTTTGGTGCACAGGATGACACTCAACCAACCAAGCCACACCAGCCAGGCTCTTCTGCCCTTTTTTTTATGTTTGAAACTTTTCAGAATGCAATGTTGGGTAAAATGCAGGTACCCCTAAACATGACCACATTCTCAAAAAATTACTTCTTCTTCAATATAAATAGCCACACTTCCTCACTCCTCCCAGCCTTAGTCTTTTTCCCCTGGGAAACCTGCTTAATTAAAAAGGGCCTAGAGGGTGGCTGGCAGGGGGTGAGCCACTCCTTTATGCCAAGAGCTTTGTATTATTCCCGATGTGTAACTCTCACAATAGCACCAGCTAGTTATTATTGTCTGCATTTTATGAGGAAACTGAGGTGCAGCGGGGTAAACCTGACCCAGGTCACAAGGTGCTAATACTAGCCTTGTAGCATTTATGGAGCCCTTACTTTATGTTTGTCAGGCTGTGTGTTTTGTCCTTTACATGCAACAACTTGTTTCAGCCTCACCCAAGCCTAGGAGGTAGGTACCATTATTATCTTCATCAGCGAATAGAGACTTAGGTGCAAGAACACGTCTCAGCTTACTCTAGGGGTCAGAAATGGCAGAACCCATGTGGGAACCCAGTCTCTCCCGCTTAGAGCCCCTGCCTCCCTCGGCAGGCCCAGGCCCTGGCATTCCTCTTCCTAGTTAAGTAAAGTGGCGTACCTTGTGGAACCCTCTTGCCCTGAGACCACAGCTCTTTGAGGACAGAGAATGTTTTGTTCAGCACTGTGTTATTCCCAGTGTTCAGAGCAGTGCCTGGCACAATGAATATTTATTGAGTGAAAGAATGGTGGTTTTTCACCACCTACTTCTTCTTTCACCCTCCCAGCCTCTAAAGGTGCTCTTACTAGGCACATTTAGTGTGTCCTGGACTTGGTACTTAGAGATAGAGATGCCTGTTCCTTTGATGTGATTTATGGGCCATTGTGGCTAATTTGGTAGTAGCAAGGAGTTCTAATGAAGGCAGACTTTCTTCATTAATCTTATATTGTCAAAGATGTGCAGAAAGGTGTTATTCACTATCAATGAAAAATGGGACCAAAAGTGAAATACTCAAAATTTCCCCCAAATGTCAGGAGTCTTTAAATTGTGGTAGCCAGAAATTAACCCCAGAACCTCTAGTGGTCATGATAGCTTTCATTCTACAGCTGTATTTGACTCTTGGGCTATAGTAATGAACTGGTAAACACTAGTAATTAGTTCTCTTAAGTGTGACCAAGCATGTTGATAACTATCTTATATTTATATCATGCTTAGTTACAAAGTATCATATCTGGTCTCCCTTTTGATCTTCTGAACAGCCTGGTACACACACAGGCTGGTATGATTAGCCCCACATTACAGACGAGGGAACTAGTGCCCGAGAGGCTAAGTCACCTGCCTACACCACTCAGTTGATAGTGATAGAGATAGGTCTTCAACCCTCTTGCCTCAACTCCTACTCCAGCACATTTTCCATGTCAACATTGTATTGAACCCAATAGTTTCTGGGGATGAGAGCAATAGGTAGATGTATTTCTTTTTGTTGCTCTTCGGCCAATTTAGTGAGGTCTTTGACTGGATCAGTTAATCTTTTTGGATATCAGTTTACCAATCTGTATAATGGGGGAATAAACACCACCCATTAGTGAGTACACTTGGAGCAGAGGAGTTTGTGAGGATTCCAAACTTAAAAAACAACTTCATAGTGAAGATATTTGGAAGGGACCATAATGATCCTGACCAATTTTTCATAAAATAAGTTAAATATCACCTCCCTTTACCAAATATCACTTCACTTTACCAAAAATGGCACCCCTGCTCCTTCATAACCATGCTTCATTTTTCTTCACATTATTCATTGGCATTTATTATCTGTTTATATTGATTTGTTTATTGTCTGTCTGAATCCTCCCACCAGAGTGTAATAGCCATGATAGCAGGGACTTGGTCTGTTTTTTTTTTTTTTTATATCCTCACCCGAGGACATTTTTCCTTTTTTTTTTGTTCAGATAGAGTGGGAGGGAGAGAGAGGAAAAGAGAGAGAGAGAGAGAGAGAGAGAGAGAGAGAGAAACATTGATGTGAAAGGTACACATCAAGTGGCTGCCACCCGCATGACCCATCCAGAGCCGGGGACAAATTGCAACTGAGATACGTGCCATTAGCGGGAACCGAACCCAGGTCTTTCTGGACCGCAGGTTGACACTCCAACTGCTGAGCCAAACCGGCCAGGGCTGGTCTGTTTTTTTGTATTCCTAGATCCCTAACAAGTAGAATAGTGCCTGGAACAAATACCATGTGGAAGGGAGAAAGGAAAAGTAAGAAAGGAAGGAAGGAAGGAATGAATTTGAGTTGTGTAATGATTGAAAGTAAGCTTGAACTGGATGATTGGAAGATTTACTCGAATATTCCTTGCCCTCCAACAGAGGGGTCTCATGGTTTGGTTTCCTCATACCCATTTCTGGCTCAGCCACACAGTGACTTATAATCAATCATTGAGGCCTCCTTGAATAACTTATATCTGGGTGAAATGGGTTCAGTAACTGGTGGCCATGCAGCATTCGTAGGTCATTGTATTGTACTGTATGCCTCTGTATTGTAAGAGTCTGTGAGGACTGAGGCAAAGCCCCTTCACTGCCGTATCCCCAGTACTAAGCAGAGAGCCTGGTCCACAGAGAGGTAAAATAAGTGTTTGTTGAATGAATGAATGAATGAATGAATGAATGAATATGTAAGAGGAAACCCAGCACAGGAGTCTTAATCCCCCTCCAAAGTTAAGGTCTCCATTTGAAAACAAGCCTGGTACATGGCACAGACACTCCCTTTCAACTTGAACCACATCTCTCCAGAGACAAGGAGGTGCTAAACAGTTGGTTCCCTAACCTAAGGGAAGGAAGGCATGCCTAGGCTCCAGATCCAATTCCATGCCATGTTTTGGAAGTTGTGTTTACGTCTGCCTTCATCCCTATCCTTTCGGCTCCAGCATAAGCAAAATTATAACCCTGCACACTGACTTGCTTGCAATTATCAGAGCCCCGGTGCTCCTCTGTTGAGGGACTTCGCCCCTGAGACCGCCGACTGTCTGTGAATGACAAATCAAAAGTCAGGGTTGCAGAATCATCTGGACTTTCCTGCCCATTTGCAGCAGAGGGAGGAAGGAGAGAATGAAAGATTCTGAAAATAAAGGTAAGGGCCCAACTGCAGAGGGGAGGCAAAAAGATGCTAGAGATGAGATGGCACTCCATGGACATGTTTAGTTTGTATGAATGACTAATTTAGCATTCCTGTGCATGTATCGTTTTAACATACTAGTTACATAATAAACATGACTTTTTTAAAAGACTGGCTTCTAAAAAAGTATACACAAATGAAAATGACTGGCTTCTGGTTTCCAAATATTGTGTCATTCAATTTTGCATTTTTGTGCTACTAAATATAGCCATATTTTTTGCATTCTTCATGTAATCTTAGCTAAGTAACATATTTCCATTTCACAGATTTCTTTATGACAGCTACCAGGGTTTTGGTAATTTTATATTGGGAGAGTTCACAATAGTTAATTAATGTGTAGGTTTTCAATGTATTATTGGAATTGGAATATCTGAAATACTTTGGACTTACACAGTTTGGGTTCTCAAGGAAAAAACGATGCCTGAGAATCCCTTAATGACCATTAATCTTTTTAGGATGACTCAGTGGGGAGCTTTCACTGACCTTCAGAACTGTTTACCTTGCAGAGATAGTCGCATGCAAACTTCCCCCATTCCTCCAGCCTTCACCCCCTAGATCCTTGGTACATTAACATCCCCCAACCCCCATCACTCTATTTCCGTTGGAGGTATGGTGGAGGAGAGAAACGGTTTTAAATTCTGAGGCTCTTTGAAATTTCTGCCGCAGTTGGGGGAGGAGCGACAGACCCCAAGGTCTCAGGAGGCTACACGTGTCCCCCGATCCTGTTTCCAGGACGGGGCCCTTCCTTTCTGCTGCGTTGGTCCAGCCCCTGGTCTGGGTGCCGGAAGGGGTGCAGGGACGGCAGGCTCTCGGGGAAGCTCCCGGGTGGCCACCCGGGCAGAGGACGCCATCTCCGCGCGCCGGTGGCCTGCCGCTGCTTCCTGGGCGCTAATTTTAGGGTTTGCCTGCTCCCCTCCCCCTTTCCCCGCGCGCTTTCGCGGGTCTCTCCCCCGAGCCACTGCGCATCAATTTGCACCCAGCCCTCCCCCCGTGCTCTCTGCGTTGAGGAGGCCCGGGCACCTTGCCCTTGGGTACCCGGGCTTGGGTGCGCAGGTGGAGGCTGGAACGCAGCAACCAGGCAGGTGACTCCCGCGCCAGTGAAGTTTGGGTGATCCGTGCAGCCACACGGCCCCCAACCCCCTCCTTCCTGTGAGCAGGGCCGCCTTCTTGGCCTTCTCCCGACCAGTCCCCAGCCACTTTTTCTGACTTGTTATAATATTCCAAATTAAAACTAAGAAAACAAAACAAAACTAAAAAAACACACACAGCCCGAGGTCGGTGGGGAGACGGGCATTTCAAGCTGCCAAGCTGTTTGTAATGACGGCCCTTAGCCGCCCCACTGTCTGTCACTGAGGCTTAAAAAGGGGGTGGGGTAGCTGCTCTTGGTACTAGTAACATCTAATAAGCTCTGGATCATTCATATCCACGTATTGATCTTTGTGGTTTAGATGTTTAAATTTTAATTAAGCAGCCTTAGCAGGGAAGAAAACAGCTATGCGTGGGCCTGGTGAGTGGAGAGAGGATCTATCCACTCCTGTTTCGAAGCCAGCCTCTCATGGACAAATAAAACCTGTGTGTGTCATTGAAGTATTTTAAATGAATTCAAGGAGAATGTTGGCTTTTTCTGGAGAAAGGGTTACTGGAAAGAAAAAAATTGTTTATATGCCATGTCATGCTAGGCCAGTGGCATGATTTTGAAAAACATTAAGGCTGCCTGAATTGGAGGCTTAGGCTGTGGTTAATATTCACCGTGGTTTGGAATTGAATCACTCCCAGTGTCTCGGTGTATCAGCATGTTTTCGATTTAAAATTCCAGCTGCTTTTTTGAAGTGAGTTGGTATTTAGAATTTTTGTTTCACTTAGTTTTGGAAAGGGCCTTTGGTCAGGAATCAGAATAGTTAGTGTAGGTTCTGGCTTTTTCTGCCACAAACTCATTAGTGACCTAGGACTTTATTTTTTTGGATCTCAGTTTCCTAATCTCAGAAATGGAGAAATGTTAGACTAGATCACTGCTCTTCAGATTGTGGGTGGTAAGAAAGCTATTTAGTTAGTCTCAAGCAACATTTAGAAAGATGAAATTTGATAGAAAATGGTAGACACCATTATACATAGTAAGGGTAAGTATTGTTGCCTGAGACTTCTGTTTTCGGTATTTATGTTTGTTTTGGTATGTAGGTATGGGCTATATGATGTCATGTTCTGTTCCTCACTGTGACTCCCAGTCAGAAGAGTTTGAGAAACACTGAAATAAAGAAGAGCTTCTTTAATTTGGTTTGCAATTTTATATACATGTCCTTTTTTGCTTATATATGAGAATATCTGTAGTTTTCCTCAGATTTTCAAAGGGGGTATAAGCCCCCAAACTGGTTATAAATTATTATATTTCTTCCAAACCTCTTCCTAGATAATTTCTTAGAGATCAAAGAATCCTTTCAGGGCTGGGAGGTGGTTCAGTGTTGGCAAAGACCAGATGAGATTGTGATGTGATGTGGGATGTGCGTGTGTGTGCGTGTGTGTGCATGTTGAAGAGGGGGTGTGACCATGGTAACCACACCCTGAGAGCTCTTTGTAGGTTCCAAAGGATCAGTTGGTGACCTGAATATGAAATATAAATATACTAAAAATTAGAGTCTTTGTGCTAAAAACTACTACAGAAAAACTATTAAAATGTTGTGAATTGTTCGGAAGTCAACTCTCCTTACAAAGACAAAAAGAGAGAGTCAGATAAAATTTAAAGAGGTTGACAGGTGCAAATAAACACTCAGGATATTGGTAGGAGAAACTGAATTTTTATAAGCTATCATCACATGGCTAGTGTTTAGTAAATGTTAAATTGTGGTTTAATAAATGCCTTTCTTTTTCCTATTTTTGGTATATGTTGTCTGAAGACAGTCTGGCGCCACTGTCTTATACAAGAGACATTGTGTAACATTTACACAGCATATCTCAAAATGCTTTGCAAGCCAGGAAAAAAAACACATATGTATGAGGCAACTCAGGAGAAAATAGTTGAATGAGTTAATAAGTAGGTATTGGCAAACATGACAGCTAATTATAATAATAATCATAGCTCCTATTTAATGAACAACTAGTATGTGAAAAGGTTGTTTGCAAGGAGCTTTACATATTGTCACAACATTGATGGGTAGGGGGTATTTTATATGTAAGGAAATGGATTAAGAATTTTGTGCAGGGCCCTGGCCGGTGTGGCTCAGTTGGTTGGGCATTGTCCTGTGCACCAAAAGGTTGCTGTTTTGATTCCTTATCAGGGCACATGCCCAGATTTTGGGCTCAATCTCCCAAGGGGGGTGTGTGCAGGAGGTGGCTATTCTCAGATCACTGTTTCTCTCTCTCCCTCACTGCCTCTCTCTCAGAATCAATAAAAAATATTTTTAAAAAAGGCTTATGTACAGAGACACAGCTAGTAAGTGGCAGAGGCAGGATTCAAACCCAGGTCATTTTATCTCCCAAACCATTCATTCACATGGTAGACAAGGGCTTGAGAATAAGTAGCATGGCAAATTTGCAGTTTTTACTAAAATTTTCAACATCATTTATTATTAGAATTAATTTACTTACTGTAAAAGGGAAATGTGAGCCATAGGAAATAATGGCCTTTGACTAATTTTCTAGATTGTGTTTATTTGAAAAAGACATCTTAAGTTCAGCTCCAAATTTTTCTTTTATTTAGTAAGTTCTCTGAGTATTTTATGCAACAAGGTTTTAGAAACCTTGAAAGGACAGCAGTGGAGAATTTGAAACGTTGGGTGGAATATTTTTTTTTCTACAAGAATTCAGGACATTTTTTTCTGTTATTTTTCTGTATATTATTTCAAAATAACAAACATGATATTTTATGAGCAAGTGAGATATGTATAGCATATATATATGTATTTTTTTATCCTCACCCGAGGACATTTTTCCATTTTTTTGTTCAGATAGAGTGATAGGGAGAGAGAGGAAGAGAGAGAGAGAAACATCAATGTGAAAGGGACACATCGAGTGGCCGCCACCCGCACGACCAACCAGGGCCGGGGACAAACTGCAACCGAGGTACATGCCCTTAGCGGGAACCGAACCCGGGTCTCTCTGGACCGCAGGCCGACTCTCTAACCGCTGAGCCAAACCGGCCAGGGCTGTATAGCATATTTTAATGTCGTTAAACTAGGATTGGAACATTGGTCTATGCTAGTAGTTCCTGAAAGAATTTGATTTTTTATTGAAATTTATTATAGAATCTGTTTGAGAGTTTGAATATGGTTAGATCCAGACTTTTAGGCCCTGAATATTAAAAAGACTCTGGTATCTACCCCCCCCCCCCAGTCTGTGATTCAAATTAAAGAAGTATAAGGAAATGCAAAAGTATTGTATTTTTTCTTAACCATCACGCTTACTTTGATACTTTTGGAGAACTCAGATTCTCTCCAGGATTTTTGTTATTGCTTCTTGTGACTCTGTGGGTTGAGGATACAGTATTTTAGCTGGGGTGATATGTAAAATAGCTGCGTGGCTTTCGGGTTTCAGGGCTAACATGTGATAAAGCTGGTTTTACCACCTGGCATGTCTACAGTTTTCGAATGGGCATGGTACTGCCTGTGGGAAACTGGATCTATGCAAGGGGCTCTCGAAGCATTCACTGGGAAGAAACCAGAAATGCTCGACGTACCGGAATGTTCTAGTCTGTTCTATCGCATGACAAATGATCTCATGTTCTGTGCAACTTTCAAATGTTTTGCTGAAGAGGCAAGTAAAAACCTTCTATACTTTTCTGAGCCTAGAACACAAATTGGTTTGACTTACACACTAAAATTTCCAGGATTAAAAATACTGTTTAAATTGATGAAAGATTGTAGTTTATTTTGTTGAGAACTTCACTTACCCAAAGTGACACTGCTTGATTTGACACTACAATACAGTACACCAGTCTTAGTCCATGTACGTACAGGCATATGTAT